AAGAAAGTAAGATCAGTAAATAATCACTTAAGTTATGAACGTTAGTAGGCTACTTATTTAACTGGCTTTTCTGAAAGTGCTCAGAGACGTGGTTAAACAAACCCACAAGAAAGTAAGATCAGTAAATAATCACTTAAGTTATGAACGTTAGTAGGCTACTTATTTAACTGGCTTTTCTGAAAGTGCTCAGAGACGTGGTTAAACAAACCCACAAGAAAGTAAGATCAGTAAATAATCACTTAAGTTATGAACGTTAGTAGGCTACTTATTTAACTGGCTTTTCTGAAAGTGCTCAGAGACGTGGTTAAACAAACCCACAAGAAATGAAATGTTTTATTTTAATTGTTTTTTGGGGGTAACAGTTAATGGCATTTTTACAGTATGAAATGCAAAGGTAACCTCTCATTAACTGTTTACTATCTAGCAATTTTTTAAAAGAAAATAAAGTTCACAAATTTCAAGATATGAAACTGTTACACTAACTATTTTGTTATAACGTTAAAAACAAACTACTTAACTATACGGATATTTTTATACCTTTTGATAATAATCAGTTGTAGAAATGTGACAAAATATCAGGCAAGAGCTTTACGTTTTGTCTTGCGATTTAGAAAACTTTGAATAAAATATACAAACAGCAAATTTAAAAACAACTAAGGATTATTTTATCCAGACCTCAACCCATGAAGAAGAAATATTATAACAGTGAAACTCACATTTGCAACAAATACTGTACATGTCAGTGGCCCCTGGACTCCTAGAGATTCCAGAAACTGTGGACTTAGTCCGTAAGTGTTATACTGACTAGAAGAACCACCTCCTATGCCAAATCCAAAGTTGTTACTTGAGGAAAATCCATGTTCCCTGCTTGTTCTAGTGATATGTTTACCATGCTTGTCTCTTTCTACTTCACAATCCTAAGACATACACAAACAAGACCTATTAACACTATAAGCAGTGTGTTTAACAAGAGAGAACCATTCACTCTCACAACTGAAGGTAGGTAGTTGAGATTAACTTGTAAATAACATGTTCAGAACCTTTAATGGTACTTATAGACTAACTATCATTCCTTATACAAGTCTTACTTTATAAATCAACACATATAAATAAGGTAAGAAGTAACAAGTTTTAACCACCAATATTCTATAACTATGAGTTGTAAGTTGGTCTGATGGATGTCATTGTTATAGTTTCTTGTAACAAGCTTTAACTACCAATATTCTATAACTATGAGTTGTAAGTTGGTCTGATGGATGTCATTGTTATAGTTTCTTGTAACAAGCTTTAACTACCAATATTCTATAACTATGAGTTGTAAGTTGGTCTGATGGATGTCATTGTTATAGTTTCTTGTAACAAGCTTTAACCACCAATATTCTATAACTATGAGTTGTAAGTTGGTCTGATGGATGTCATTGTTATAGTTTCTTGTAACAAGCTTTAACTACCAATGTTCTATAGCTATGAGTTACACTGCCTTTAAATATAATTTTAGACTTGCCAAAGACGTTGTCTAAAAATACTATGTTCAGGTAAGCTAAGCTTTATTGAAATAGTTGCCATGGTATCTGTAGATGGATATTAACTGATGTACAAAATAATTTATTTTATTCATGCAAGACTCTTCAAAATCTCAGTCCAGTTTAACTTCGATCTCCCTGAAGTAGAGATCACACAACATCTGAAACTTGTGAAAAGTAGGTTGGTGACATGAATGTCAATTGACCTGTAAATATTCATTTCCTAGTGTTACCAACCGATGGAATGTTTTTATAAAAATAAATATCGGTGTTGGATGAAACTCACCGAGCAAATTTTTATTTTCAATAAGTCTACAAGTCATTTATTGAGAGCAAAAAAAAATCCAGTAAAAAGCTCAGTGCAGTTAAAGATAGTTGTAAGCATTCACAAAATATTGATGATACAGAGGTTGTACATTAAACATGTATGAATTAATTACAAATCAGACTTAGCATACCCTTACTTCTTAAACAAAGAACTGAATCTGAGTGCAATGTTTGGACCATAAGCCTACATAAAGCAGTTAAACTCATTTCTTACCCCAAGATGCCAAATACATCATGGATTACAAAGGATACAAATAGCCTGAACAGCCTCCACCGGGTGGTCAAATGTAACAGTGCCATGTCCTTTACTGTTGCCCTCATCGTCGGTCTTTAAGTCAACACTGATAACTTTCCCTGCCAGCTTAAAAACGTCCTCTAATTTCTTACTGTCGACCTTGTAGTCAAGCTAGGAAAGAAACAGTTCTATATACAACACACTTGACCTTACTTCACACTTGACCTTACTTAAGGTTTCCTTACACAACTGTAAACAGTGTTAAGTATGCTTAAAGTTTAAGACATATTACCTGTTATTTATCCTCCCCTTTTAGGGATGTATTTTTGATATCTACACAGGTATTTCTTGTCCCTAAAGATGTATTTTTTATATCTACACAGGTATTTCTGGTCCCTAAAGATGTATTTTTAATCTATATTCTTCCAAGCACTCCATACTAATATTTTGTACTAAATTACATTTTTCTGTTTAACAGATTAACTCAAGATGCTGTAAGTAACAAATAGCCAGCTTTCAAAGTTTAAGCCTATAAAGAGTACATTCATAAGTGTCCCTACTCTTGACAACAATTAACTATAAATGAAGTTATAAATTCGTATTTATTTTTTGGATTTTATTGTAAAGCCTGGTAATCAGATCTAAAATGTAATCTTAAATACTCAGTCAAAAAAACAAACCCACACCCACCAGGTAACTTGGCTGGAAGTCCATCAGCTTCATCACTTTTGAACTTGTCCTAAAATATAATATTAGGTAACAAAACATGAAACTGACACTCACTCTTATAACACAGCTGTTAGTATTTTTCATAAATTAGAAGAATAAAAGAAACAAAGCATCTCAAATATCAATGTAAAAACAATGAAATTAAAATTCAATAAAATAATGACACAACTTAAAGAAACACAAATTATAAATTCTGTAAGTTACCCACACCTTTCATATATAAAATTAGCACTTACCTGGGCCAAAAAGACTCAAATTATGCTAAGATATTTTTTGTAAGATATCAACACACAAAACATAACTCACAATTCGAACACTCATCATCCGGGCAAACAACTTCTGACCATTAAACATTGCTGTACACAATGTCAAGGTAATCTTTCAAGAAAAACGAATGCTTTGGGGAATAAAGATCTTGAAAACAGGTTGCAGGTGGTACATATCTATACCGATCCAGAGTTTTAGTGTTTTTATTTCATGTACTTTTATCAATTTTATACATAAACTTTTCTAGTTGTCCACAAAACTCACTCAACAATAGCACACTTGATTTATAAAGCAGAGATGAGGAATTACCTTTGGTATAATAATTTAGCCAATTACTCTAAAAAAAAACTACTTATATCACAATGTTTTTATTTCTTCCTTAGTAAATCCACGAGCAATTACAGACTACACCACATTATTAATTAGTAGCACACATGATCTGTTACGATGAGACACAACAGGAATCAATTATTTTAATAGATATTTCTTTAGTTACACAGGTATTTCTGGTCCCTAAAGATGTATTTTTGATAATTACACAGGTATTTCTGGTCCCTAAAGAAACATACACTTGCTTGCACAGTTTAAATTAATCAATCTAAAATCCTATTAAATGTAATACATTACAATAATCATCTGTAGATTTAGTAAAAATGCCACTTACTATTAAGATTAAGCGGCTGACCACCAGCTCCTAATCCTTTCCCGACACTATGGAGACCATCTAAAAGTATTATTCACATTTAAACAAGCATACTTCTTGAGAAAGATGGCTTATTGTATAAGAATATTAATGTACATATAAAAGATGCTACAGTTGACAGAACAACAAAAGTATTAATCATGGGCATAAGCTAAAGCAGAGAACTTCATATATTAAAAAAAAACATAAACACTAAATTTTAACTTTCTTCACTCAGATAAACAAAGTTCGTTTTAACATAATAGTGAAACTATCTTTCATATTTATATATATAAAATGGTCCCCAAAGATGTATTTTTGATATTTACACAGGTATTCCTGGTCCCTAAAGATGTATTTTTTATAACATAAAGTTCAGTTCCTTCCTCTGCTGTACTGAAAAAGCCAGCATTTAACATCTTCCAGCTACTCTTCATAACATAATATATAAACAAGTAGTCCAAACAACTTAAAGACAACCAGGTATACAATATCAAATGATTAGAAGGACAAAGAGATAAGATATTTGGTGAGGCTATGACTTTTTTTAATCTTAAACGATCAAAGTTTCTAACATATACCAAATTAATACATCCTTTAAAAAATAAGAAAGAAATACCTCATACGTTTCTTTCCAGAATATATTTTATGTAATATACTCCTAAAAAAAAGATATTATAATAAATTCATCATCCCCCAAACACAAATGTGAAAAAGAAAAGTTAATTTCATAACAAACCACACAATTAATATACATGAAAATATGATTTGAAACAAGTCCCAACAACATTTACATGAAAAAAAACAAAACCAAAACTTGTTCACCAAACATTAGAGGAAATAAAATCACTTACAAATTCCACTGTTTACCAATAATAATAAAAAATCACTGATACAGAACACCTTAATTGAAGACACATCAGAGGCAAATTTGTACAATGACTAGTATTTTATTTGAAACGAACAGTTCTGGAGAATTCCAAAGTATCACTGAAATATGCCAGAAACTTTTCAATACAAAGTCATACACAATGAAGCAACATATGAAATTAAAAAAAAAAAATACCTTTCAAGATTTCATAACAAAAGTTCCAAAACTGGAGCCAAAAAAATTAAAGAAACAATTATTTGGGTAATTTCACAACAAAACAATTTGATAAACATCTCGCAGTAGAAAAACAAGTTTTAATGGTTTTTCACAAGATCTGTACCAGTGCTGAGAGATCTCTTCAGTATTTATCTGCTGAGAACAGACACCTTAAAACTACAAACAGATATGACCTTTACAAACTGACAGCTCAAATTCAAAATTGAAATTTGACAACAGAAAAACACTTTCACAAAATTCTGAAAATTACTCAAACTACTAATAGTTCAGTTGTTCTACGATACTGTGAGAGCCGTGACAATACACTCCATACCAATAACACACTGTCCAAAGTTCCTAATAAAACAAGGTTTCAAGATACAGAACAAAATTCACTGTTCTACAATCTTCTTATCTTCCTCTGAAAGTCATGCTTTATAAGCTGTGCCAAACAAAGGCTACGAACTGCACGTCAAAAAGAAAAGCCTGCTCTTTTGTTTGAAAGAGATAGAACAAATACAGAAAACACACACAGATGATTCCACTAATAAAAAATACACAAGAAGATGTTACACCTGGCATTTTGAAACTACTGAAATATGTGATAAAACATCAGTACAAGCGAACCTCAATTTGCCGACCATCAATACGAATTCCATTCATTAAATCTGAGTTTAAGTTAAGAAACATTATGTTACAGCATCTTACAAGTAACTACAGTGCTGTTAGGTTCAAAATCTTATGTATACATTACACATAATTTAAGTTACACAGATGCCAAGTGTGGAGAGGTCAGAAGATGTAACTCGTATACAACACAAGCACCTAACAAAGAACCAGCACTATTACAAAAATAATTTATACAAAGGATTCTTTTTGATAGTTACCACAGAAACTTCTACATAGACTTGTCTGTGTTGATTATATAACAATGTATCTATGTTCTAAGTTTGTAAAAAAAAAACTACACCATCAGAATTAATTTATAATGTTTTACATAATTTTCTAAATATTTTCAGCTACATATATTCAATTAAAATCAAACTTACTCACAGACCAAAGCTTCTGTCTTTTATTTTTCATGTTTATAGTTGTTGGTTGTTCTTTTAAATAATGTTTCAAAAAAAAGGTTTCTTTTTTAATACAGTCTTAAACTGTGACTTAGGACTTTTAATTTTATTTCTTAGTCTCTGTCACACTTTTAACAAAATTTAAAAGCTTTTTCACTCACTGATGCAAGATTAAAGACTTGTTCGACTTGTACTTAACGTACATTTTCCGATATCAATTTAAGGTACCAACTCCATAATTACTTAAAGGATACCAACAGCTCGCTGAGCATGTCGTTCTGCACTAAACCTGATTAGTCCAGTGCCGTGTCCTTTCAATTCAGCAAAACGGACATCTCCTAGATAGAAAATATTTATATTAATAAACTTTAGAAATACAACAACAACTCATTACTACAGAACAATATACTTAATGTAATCTTTCAACACTTTCAGCTTGTCTTTCATAGTAAAATAAAAATGAGATGAAGACTGACCATTACCAGTATACGGGCTTATAGTTTTATTTCTTCAAAAAGCTTTTAGGTTCACTTATTTTCCAGTCAGGACAAAGCTTAAATACAACAATATACTTATGACCAACTAGAAACTAATTAAGTTTTAGTAATACCTTTCTGTGGTTACACATGATTTGTATACATGACACGAACAATTTCCAAAAAACTTACAAGGCAGAAACAAAGAGAACCCCATTTCCTTTATGTAAATACCTAACTAGTTTTGAAAATAATGTTATTTTTGGATATTATAGATGTTATGGAACTGATTACCAAAAGTAATATACTCACACACACAAAGCAACCATATAACCAAGGTGCACATCATTCAACATGGTGTTATAAATTTGACGTCACACTTATAAACCTTTTACATTACTGAGAGTTTGTATGAAAGCAAAAAAAAAACAAACTAAATACAATAGACAGGGATACTGAAAATAAACTATAGATATACATTTAGAAGATTCGAGAAATTATGCAAATACAAACCATACAATGAAAAAAGTATTTTTATACTTTACAAAAACATTACCTTGTACTTGTACTTCTCAGAGTCTGAATTTGTCTGTTCACAGACGTATGTTTTGAACAAATCTTAACATATCTGATTTCTTGTACACAACACATTTATTTAATTTCTTGAAGGTTTGTATGTCAGTTTGTTTGGTGTTTTAGTGGAATGCTTCTGAAGAAGCTGTAAAGTGAAACATTGAGTGTATAATTAAATAAGAACAACAATTTGGTGTTATACGGTCATTCATTTCTAGTTTGAAGACTTGTAACATTTACTAAAACTTTTCCACATTTCATGAAGATACAGTAAATTCAGACAGCTCAACAGACCAAGTCCATGCACATTTGGTTAAAGGCATCACGTATTAAAGGTTAGTTTTAAGTTGTTTTCTTAAAGAGAGCAGTTAAATAGTCCGAAAAGTTTTCTTAAAAAATACCTTGCACAAATGTTCATGCTGTTTTCAAGATTCAGATTTGGATGACGATGTCCAATTTCCAATGTCCAATTACAGCCAACTGTAACTCAGTGGTCTATTTTATCGTTAAGTGACGAGTTAAAACTGTCAGTTTTGTCTTACACCATACGACGTAGTTGATCAGTAAGTTGGCAGTTTTTTGGGTTCTGAATGGATCACTGGTTTCAGGTCAGCTGAGCATTTATTTAAAACAATAATTCAAGTAATGACAAGTGGTAAAAAAGTGGCTTACAGATTGTTTTACAAGTACAAAATAAACTAAGTTGAAAAAGTACACTCACCAACATCCCTGAATCGATCCCGTAGTGTTTGCCACGTGTAAGATGATGGAAGCTAGCACAATACAAGCAAACACTTTATAACAATCAATTACAGGTCAATTAATGCAGTATGGATTAACAAATGTTTTAAAGTTCTAATGAAATATTAGATAGTACTACATATTGTGTAGTAATTGTTAACACCTAATTACAGGTAGACAAATGAAACAGTCCATCAAGTAGGTTCTCAAAACTGTACAAGACACAAGGATTACATTTTTAAAAACAGAACTACTAATTAAACATGATTAAAAACTATATATCTTCATGTAAAGTATACAGTATAAAAAAAAACTAGATGATACTCACATTTTTTACCATTACTGTGTCTGAGCTTCGTGTTGATTGGTTGAAACCCAAACGGTTCATGTCCCCAAATGCTCCTCCACCTGTATTGGTCATTCCAGTGCCAAGCCCTAGAGCTGTTCCAAGACCCACTGCTCCACTTCCCATGGCTGCCATCATGTTGTTTGTATTAGTTAGTCCCATGTTGTTACCGACAGTTCCTAACCCAAGTCCAGCAGCACCCATGTTACCAGTGAAACCCGTACCCATGACTGTATTCATACCCATATTATTCACCATTGCTGTGTTCAATCCCATTCCAGCTACAGAACCCAAGGCACTCATATTATTCATTGACATCATTGTATTCATATTACTCATATTACCTCCCCCCATCCCCAAGTTATTTGTCCCTCCTGCCATAACTCCTAGTCCACCTGCAACAACACAAATAACAGTTTGATTTAAATTTCAATGAAAATTTTGACAAGTTATTGAAATAGCTTTAGAAATAAAATGTGATATAGAGATTTCATCTTTAGGTAATTTCTGAATTAAAAACCTTTCTGGCTTGCTTTAAAACCATAACAGATTTTAAAATCTGTTGTAACTGGTGGTAGACTACAAAACTCCACTGCCTAATAATAAGAGCTGCTTTTGATTGGTTCCTCAACAAACGTCAATATTACAATAAGCCTAACAGCTATTCAGCATGATAGAACTTAAAAATTAAGCTTATATCCAAGCCAAGTTAGAACCAATACGTGTATTATTTCAGAACGAACCTGTTGAAGCCCCTGTCATTCCCATCACATTGGATCCACCAGTTACTGCTGATGGGGCTCCTACATTTGCTATGTTAAAAGCTTCTGCAAGAAATCAGAAAAAAAACTTATCAACTTTTTCATAAGTAACTCTAGTACACTTGAAACCCGAGCGGTATAAATAACAGTTACTATTATAATCAAGGATGCAGAGGTAATAAAATTAAAAAGGTATCACAAAGGCAGTTACATTAGTTTTCAATTGATTTAAGGCTTGGATATCTGTACAATATTCATTCTGTAATAGACTAACATAAAGACTTACTGTAAAACAATCATAGATTAAGTATTTTGGTTTCCAACATCATGAAATCAGTGACTGTGCAAGATAAATATGTACACATGGTCTTTGGTACCTTAAGAACACACTGGAGGTAATGTCTAGTTGATCTAACTTAATGTCACTTTTATTATGAAACTTTTCATGTCATGAATACCTATAGCAGTAGTCTCAATTTCAATCCCATATCGCTTCATTCTGGGTTCAAAAAAACTTCAGTTTTTGATCTTTTGAATCTAGAAATAATCCTGGAATTTAAGGCCTATTAAATGTGTGGTTCCAGTTTTCCAACCACCCTAATTTAATTTTAAATGAATATTTTGTTTTGCTGACATTTGTATAATTTTATTTCTGAATCAGTTTGGTATTTAATATATAACTTCCAATCAGAGTAAGGTATTCACGAAAACAAGGAACCCACTTTAAGTATATATATTGTAGAGATGGCTGATATGGGTATTATAAACATTTATTTAAAAACACAAAACACGTTATTCTTAACTTGATGATGACCTAAGAAGGTCGAAACATTGTTACTTGTTTTGTGTTTTTAAATAAGAGTAAGCTATGTACTTAGAGCAAAATTAAAAATCAATTTGGCCAGGAGCATAGCTAATTAAATATACTTTTCTTACATTTCTACTTATAAAGATCAGAATGTATTGTTTCATCAGTTCGCTACCCTCTCTTTTAATGATATTTTTGGCCACTATCCTAGTAATATCTTAGACAAATAAGACCATGTGTTTCTGGTTAGAATCAATTACTCAGCTAACCTCTGACAATTAAAATTCCCATGTTGAACTGACAACATGATTGTACATGCTACCAACAATCCTTGCAATAAAAATAGAGTCATGTGCTCCTTACCATAAAATAAAGGTGTTTTATCACTGTTCCCAAACAGCAGTTGGATAAACAACATTACTGACAATTTCTACCTGGAAAGGATTAAGACTGTTACTGCTGAAGCTTTGCTATCTCCCTTGCTAACACTGACAGACGAGAACGCAGACACCAAGTTGGTTTATGTGAATTTACTTGTTGACCAGGTCAATTTTGTAATAAAATTTGTATAATTAATCTGCAAGCCATCCAAGATGGAGGAAGTGGTGCACGTTATGGAAACCTTTACAAGTGAAGCAACAGTAAAAGCTGAAAATGCCTTCAAGATGTTAATGGCCAAAGGAAATGCAATACCTCCAAAAATAAAAAAAAAATAGCTGTCAAAAAATAAATGTCAATCAGCACAAAACAATTTTCTTCTGTTTATTGGATCACTGTGTTGTATAAGAATTAGTCCAATTTCTATAACATAGTCAAAAGCAAAAAAGGTTTTCTTCTGTGTTCGTTTAGGTTGAGAAAATAAAACTGAAACATATCATTTATAGTGAAACAAATGGCATATAAAAAGTGAAACCAAATAGAGCCTCTAAACTAGCAAACATTTAATCTGTTTGAGTAACTCACTGAAGACAAGAGATGTCACGGATCAGTTTTAATGTAGCAAGTTTGATGTTACGACTTTGTAAGAATCATGTATCATAAACTTTTGGTTGTAACATGGCAACTTTTTTACTTTAGGATCAGTTTTAATGTAGCAAGTTTGATGTTACGACTTTGTAAGAATCATGTATCATAAACTTTTGGCTGTAACATGGCAACTTTTTTACTTTAGGATCAGTTTTAATGTAGCAAGTTTGATGTTACAACTTTGTAAGAATCATGTAGCATAAACTTTTGGT